AATTAAATAAATATTTTTTGATAAATTAAGGTTAGAAACAAAATGAAGACAAACGTTTGACAGTTGGCATTGAATTATGTGTGGCCAAAAACAAATAATCACAGTAAAGGCGTTGCCAACCACAGCAAAAATAACGCCGTGTCATTTTGTTGTGGCAGCTCCAAACTCAATGTCCACTATGAAACGTTTAATCTTTAACGCCTTTATTGTGTTTCTAATCTATATTAAAAAAATCATTAAAACCTTTTTTAAACAAAACACACCCACACACTTAAATCAAATACTTAAACCTAAATGTGCTAAACAATTAAATCTAATCAGAAATGTTTAAAATCAATGGTAAAACATTATCAACATTTACACCTTAATCAAATAAAAAAAGTTATAAGCATCGGCTCGGGCAAATGTTTCAAATTTTTTGTCAGTGTGCTTTGCTTTTTTAAAAAATAAAATAAAAATTAAACTTAACAGAAATAAATAAAAAATATATATACAAAAAAATAAAAATAACTATAAACGTAAATTAAACATCAAAAGGGAATAAATTTAAATAAACAAATATAAGAAGAAGAAAAAAGAAACATAAAACAAAATAAGAGTTAAATAAATGTCCTAAAAAATATTAAAAAAAAAATCAAATTGTTTTATTTCCTAACATAGAGGGCTAGAGGAAGTAGGTAGTGGCTTCTTCTGGTAGTCCATTTAGCACAGTTGATGTCTCGATTAACTGTCAGAGTGGGCAATTGCTACTTGAATTCGATGTGCAGTATTGCCAACCATGTGAAATATTATAAGAAAAACTTTGACAGATGGTCGAGACCATGGCACAATGAATAGGTAGTCCATTTAGAGCAGCTGATGTCTTGATTAACTGCCAAAGTGCGTAATTTATACATGAATTCGATGTGCAGTGTTGCCAACAATTTGAAATATTATATGAAAAATTTTGACAGATAATCGAGACAAAAAGTAAGGTTTTTGTTTTGATATATCACCTTATTTTTGTATTATGGGTAGTCCACTTGGAGCAGCCGATGTCTTGATTAATTGTCAAAGTGCGTAATTTCTACTTGAATTTGATGTGCAATGTTGCCAACCATGTGAAATATTATAAGGAAAAATTTGACAGATGATCAAGACAAAAACAAAGGGTTTTGTTTTGATACATCACCTTATTATTGCATCATGGTACAATACATGGCACAATGAATAGGTAGTCCATTTAGCGCAGCTGATGTCTTGATTAACTGTCAAAGTGGGTAATTTCTATTTGAGTTTGATGTGCAGTGTTGCCAACCATGTGAAATATTATGTGGAAAAATTTGACAGATGGTCGAGACAAAAACCACGGTTTTTGTTTTGATACATCACCTTATTATTGCATCATGGTACAATAATAAAAGGTAGGACAACATGAGGTGAATAACAAAAAAGCAACTCTGTAGCTGGTGGCCTCTTCTGTCAACTATAAAATATATGCAATAAGTGCTTGTATCTATCTGACATTTTTTTCAACGCATAGCTAAAAACGTGTTTCCCTTTCAATTAATTACCTTCACGCCTTATTACCTTCCACGGTTAATTAATCCGATTTAAGAATACCCAGTTATTTTCAGTACAATCCCTTACAAAATTTCACGTTTAATTACCCCCTTTTAATTACTCATTTTTCATCGATTTGCCCCTAAATAACCTACCTCAAAGTAACCGTACCTTTAAATTTGTCGCATGTAATTACCCAATGTATTTTTTAAATCTGGGAACTTCACTTGTAGTACGTTTACATTTAACCGGATTTCGTTAACCCAGTGGGTTTCAATTGTCAATTCCTTTGCATGATGATCCAACACATGTCCAACATGAAAAGGACATACACATAAGCCATGTGAGGAAAAACATTTGGGTTTGATTCCCTATGAATCTAGGAATTCCGTGTTTTTTTTGCGAACTCCTTCAATCTTTTCCATTCACACCCCCTCAGATCGCTTAGTCCGTGAAGAGTGTCATTTCCCAAGAATTGTCTGCGAAGGCATGTAAATGCTGGACAATGGCTCAGGAAATGTTCCAGAGCGTTTCACTGTCATCCCCACACGCTCTGCACTCGTTCCACTTCCTTCGCATCCAATCTTGAGTAGATGTGCCTTCAGGCCGAGGTGTCCCGTCAGAATACCCGTCAGCTGGCTTATTTCTTTTTTGTTTAGCGTAAGGATTTGCTTAGTTTTGTCTTCACTTGGGTCGCCCCATAAGATTTTGGTGATTTTTCCTGTCCCCTCATTGTCCCAAAGCGTTTTGAGAGCCTCATGTACCCATTCCCTTATTTCTTGGCGTGTTTCGCTAAAGTGTTTGGCGGTATACACCTCTATTGTGGGTAGTGCAGTGGCACTCCGGGCTAGTTGATTTGTTATCTCGTTGCCTATGATTCCTTGGTGACCCGGTACCCATATAATTCGTACAGGTACTTCTTGTGAGAAATCATTAATGATATTTATACATTCCAGTACAGTTTTGGAAGATATTGCCTTTCTAGCTTGTTTGCTGTCCATAATAATATTTATTGTATTTTGTCCTTGGTTTGAAATTAACCAGTTAAGGCACTCTGTTATAGCTTGAACCTCCGCCTGTAAGATCGTGCTCTGATCTGTAAGACGAAGAGAAATTTCGGTACCCGGTTCTTCGATAAAAAGTCCAAGTCCAGTTTTTCCTCCTAGACGAGAGCGATCTGTGTAGCAACAGTAACTAGGCGGCATCTGAACTAGTGTTCCGCTATTCCATTGTTCTCTATCTGGTATTATAGTTTCCCACCGTGTCACTACTCTCCTTTCAGGTATAAGGGCTGAATCAAAGTTATTGAATGTCGACTCAGTAGTTGCCTGTAAAATGTTTTTGTGCGGTGTGTTGTGTCCGGTGTCTATCCACTCGTCCATTGCTTTAAGCCTTAAAGCTGCAACCGCCGCTTCATATTTTATTTGGATGTATATATAATATTGTCTTCAAAGCCCTAGTTGGTGTTGTACGCATTGCTCCACATATTCCTAGGCAACAAGTTCTTTGAACTTTCTGCAAAGTTTTTACGTTACATTTTTTATCCATTGATGCCCACCAGACAATCGAATTGGTCTAATAACGCTCCTATATAGATCCAGTGTATCATCTTTGGATTGAAACCCCATTTAGAGCCAACGATTCTTCAACAGAAATACCAGCATCTTTGGGCCTTGTCAGCCCTTTGCTGTATGTGGTCTTTTCATTTAAGTTTCTTGTCTAGAATTACTCCCAGATACTTAACTTCGTTTGATATGGCTATCGTTTTGGAAGATGGGCTCTTCTTCTTCATCAGCTTCTGCGCTTTTTTGGCCTCTCGCTCCATCTTTAAGGCTGGACAATCGGCAATCCTCTTCTTCAGCTTCATACCGGCCACATCTTTCATTAACTGTTCCTTGTTCGCTTATTGTCATTGGCAAACATTCGTTTGGCCAACTGATCACGTTCTGCCCCTGCTGTTTGACGGTTCTTCTCCGAAAGAGCCTATTCTTCATACAGCTTCTTTATCTGCACTCCACAGGATTTCGCGGTGTGGTTCGCTGCCATAATGTCTGCGGCATTGGCGACCACTTGATTGGCTAGCTTGTCTCGTTCGGGCTCTGTTGATCGATTTTCACTGAGGTTGATTTTCACTGAGGTAATTAAGCGGGTTTACTGTATTTCATTTTAACTTATTTTACAATGTTAGGTTAGGTTAGACGATTCTTCTCCGAAAGATCCAGTTCTTTCAAAAGATTCCTTTTCTCTTCTTCCCATGATTTTTCTGTGCCTGGGCTTTCTCTGCAGCCGCCACCAATTCATGTTTAAGCTTGCGAACTTGATAGTCCAAATCGATGCATATATCTCTAGCCTCTCTATATCTTGCCTGCGCCTTTTCTTTAAGGCAACCATTGACGTCTTCCGATCTTTTTAGAGCAACTTCTAGCTCTTTATTTTTTGCCCGTAACTCCGCCACGGCACGGCCTTTCTCCAATGGATTTCGCGCTGTGGTTCGCTGCCATAATGTCTGCAGCATTGGCGACCACTTGCTTGGCCAGCTTGTCTCCTTCGGCCTCTGTTGATCTTCTCCGAAAGATCCAGTTCTTTCAAAAGATTCCTTTTCTCTTCTTCCCATGATTTTACTGCTGCCTTGGCTTTCTCTGCAGCCGTCACCTATTCACGTTTAAGCTTGCAAACTTGATAGTCCAATTCGATGCATATATCTAGCCTAGCCTCTCTATATCTTGCCTGCGCCTTTTCTTTAAGGCAACCATTGGCATCTTCCGATCTTTTTAGAGCAATTTCTAACTCTTTATTCCTTGCCCGCAACTCCGCCATGTCACGGCCTTTCTCCTCCAATGCTCTTTGTAAGGCTGCCCATTTGTTCTTGGGCTGGCCTAAAACCTCCTGTCATATTGGATTTCTTCTCCAATGCCTTCATCCACCGGAACGTCTTTCACTTCATAGGGTGCTTCCTTAATCAACTGTTCTATAAAGTCATATAGGGACTGTACCACAGTCGTATCTATTTCATCGATAGCCATATTCGTTATTAAATTGCTTATCTCCAACTGAATTTCGGTCGGTGCCGAGGCTCTGCCTAGCTTATCTTCTATCATCTGCAGCCGTTATGCTCAGAATCGAAGCTTCACTGGCTAAATGTCTCGCCGTCACCACATTCTTCTTTGCTGTAGTTTCCTTTTGAGGTTTGTATTTTTTAAAAAGTGTTTTTTTTTTTTTTTTGGGCATAATCTTAGGCTTGGGTGTTTAAAAATATGTTTTCAGGGTATAACCTATATATGTATATATAATTAAACTGCTCAATTTAATCGAAAATTGTCATTAACGTAACAAATGACTGAAGGGCCATTAACTCCTGTCATTAAACCAGGAAATTCCCCACTCCCCAAAATAAACGATTTATTTTTCATTTAAATGGATTGGGTTCAGTTACCACTGAACCATCGAACCTACAAAACATGGCCCATCCAATTCAGCGAAGACAAATGAAGAGGAGAAAAGAATTGGAAATCTATTGTCTGGGGAATTTGAAGAAATACCTACAAGAGACCACCCTGCATGGTTTGAAATATTTGGTGGATAGTTCGCTGACAAAGTGGGAAAAGTAAGTGGTGAAAAATTACGAAAATTCGAAGAGGTTTTTTGATTTTTTTGCCCCAGATCATTTTTCCTTACCGCCTTTGTGTTTTGCTTCATTATGGTGGTACACCTGGTGGCCAACATCTATGCCAAATGGGATAGTACCCCGGTGATAATTGGTATAAGTCCACATCCGACACCGATAGTGAAGCTACCCTTACCCGCCATGGTTTTGTGTAACATGAATCAGGCCGTGTATTCCAAGGTGGCTAATTACAGCAAGTAAGGGACTTTGTGTACCCCTATTAAAAAGGAAGCGACAATTATATTAAAAATGTTCTTTTCTTTTTTTCAGAGGCTCCAAGGAACATGCACTTCTACAATATTTATGCTATTCCGAAATAGCCTATGATAGTAAAAGGGAAAATTCGCGAGAATTTAAAAATAATGATTTGGATCCTTTGGATTTTATTATTGCGGTAAGTATTGGGTAGTTCATGGAAATGTAGTATTGAAATTAATCTCAAGATTTCAGCATTCCCAACCCTGCTCTCGTATGATGGTTGCCTGTTTTATCGGTTCCGTGGCCTACAATTGCAGTGAGCTGTTTCGTGAAGTTGTAACGGATGAGGGTCTCTGCTGCGCCTTCAACACATTGCATCCCAAATTGAATTATATAAAGAAGTAGGTACAAAAAATTCACAACAAAGAACAGATTTTGAAAAAATATTTTTAAAAAAACCAGGCCTTGAAAAAAAATTTATTATATGTAATTTTTTTTAATATTCCAGCTATCGCACACTGGATGGCCTTAAAACTGCTGCTGACGTTGTACCGGTTGATTGGAATCCTGAAATGGGTTATCAGGCAAATTTACCCCCTAAATATTATCCACGGCCAACGTTAGGTAAATTCCCACGCAGCCAGGAAACCAATTTTTTTTTCTAACCCACCCTCATCACCCCTCCCCTAGGTACCGGCATCTCCATGGGCATTTCGGTCATCCTAAATGCCGAAGTTGATGAATACTACTGCTCGACGAGCAACAGTGCCGGGTTCAAAGTAAATCTTGCCACACCCATTGATAGACCGCTGGTCGGTGAATCAGGCGTTATTGTACCCTTGGGCGCCACAACCAATTTTCGTATTGATGCCCAAATTAGCCAATCATCCCCGGCCATACGTTCGATAAATCGCAAACGACGTCGTTGTGTTTTCCTCAATGAAGAATCGCTCGTTTTCTATCGTTACTACACAAAGGCCCATTGTGAACATGTATGCCTCTCGGCGTTCCTAATCGAACGGTGTGGTTGTATACCCTTCTATCTGCCGGTTATCTATGATAATGCCACCTTTTGTAATGTCAGTCGGATGTTTTGTGCGGACAAGGCCAGGGTGGAATATTCCAGGGTCACTGATGATGACTGCACGGCTCGCTGTGAGACAACCTGTTTTGATTTGAAATTTGTGCCGGATGCCTTTAGCTCACCCCTTGCTATGCATAATTATACGATACAAAGTGAAATATTGGCGTCCATGCCCAAGGAGGAGGTCCAAAAGAATATTGCCGTGCTGCATTTCTACTATCGTGAATCGGTGGTACATGCGGAATTGAAAAATGTCTATATTGGGTTTACGGAATTTTTGTGTAAGTCCAAAAAATATTGCAGGTCCATGACTCCTCGTTTGAAAAATTTTGCTTTTTTAAATTTCCAGCCAATACCGGTGGCATTTTGGGCCTATTTATGGGTTTCAGTTTCATTTCCGTTGCCGAGATTGTCTACTTCTCTATTCTTCGGCCAATTTTCAAATTTGTTGTGCCGCGGAAATATCGTAACTCGCCGTCGATCAGACATGTTCGGCCAGCTAAAAGCAAGGTAAGCAGGGGACTAAAGAAATTATTTAAAATTAACCTGACTTTTTCCAACGGATTTTATTTTAGGAAAATCAGAATTGGCTACCAGGGGAAATATGTAAGGCTGCCTTGAAGACTATTCCGGCAAAGGGAGAGGCCGCGGTGCCACCTGGGGAGCTATTTTCATCACCCGATAAAATAGTCAGATAATATGTGCCGCGAGTTCACCTATAAGAACTATAAACAGATGAGTTGAGGCGTCGGGTTAGTTGCCCACTCTCGGAACACCCAACCTACTATGAAAAAGCAAAGAAAAAGAAAACCCCCTTATGTTGACGACTCCCGCAAACGTATCAAGGACCACGATCTGTAAATCTGCAAATGGAATGTGCGCACGTTGTACAGTACATCCGCCAGTGTTCGCTTTGGCGGATGTACTCAAGAAGTACAAAGCCGATATTATTGCCTTACAGGAAATGCTTCGGAAAGGCACAGGCGTAAATAAATCCGACGATTACGCGCTGTATTATAGCTGCCATGAAACGAGACATGAATTTGGCTGCGGATTTATGGTTAACAGGAGAATAAAAGACCTCGTCTCCAGATTCACTCCAGAAGATGAGCGAATTGCTATAATCCGTATAAAAGCGAAGTACTTCTACATCAGTCTCATTTGGGCCCATGCTCCACCCGAAGATAAAGATGAACAGACCAAAGACATATTTTGCGAGCGCCTAGAAACAGCATATGATCATTGCCCTGGCCATGACAATAAAAATTCTTCCAGCAGATTTTAATGCAAAAATCGGAAGGGAAAATATCTTTGGCCCCACCGTCGGAAAATACAGCATCCACGAAGAAACATCCGACAACGGCTGTTGAGGTTGATTGACTTCGCGGCAGCAAAAAACATGGTAGTTAGCAGCACCAGATTCCAGAGCATCTCGATATACACAAGGCCACTTGGATTTCTCCCGGCCGAAGAACGAGAAATCAAATCGATCATGTTGTGATAGACGAAAGGCATTCATCCAGTGTTTTAGACGTTCGATCGATCCGGGGAGCAAGTATCGACTCGGACAATTACCTTGTGGCAGCCAAGGTATGCACCCGTCTTAATGTAGCAACAAAAGTGCAATCTACTATAACACGGAAGTCGAAAAGCTGCAAATACAACAGGTAGCCGAGCCCTACTCCGCTCAACTTACCCATCTGCTTGAAGAAAGGTCTTCTTGTCCCGATAATAGTATAGAAGCACAATGGCAAAGAATTGCCCACTCCCTACAAACTGCAGCAAAAACAACACTTGTGTACCAAAGACCACGATCAAGAAACCCATGGTACGATCAGGAGTGTCGTAATGCTACTGATATGAAAAACGCAGCGTATAGGGCAACCCTGCGGACAGTAGCAACACGTGATGCGATGGAGAACTATCGGGAGAAATGGAGAGAGGAGAAACATATTTTCAGAAAGAAGAAAAACCTGAGCGTGAGCAAATCGAGATGTACAGGAGTCAGAATGAAGTCCGAAAATTCTACTAACGGGTAAAACACCAAACGGAAGGTCTTGGTGCAGGCACATCCTCCTGTAGATATAAAGAAGGAAACCTGGTGACAGATACAGACAGTGTGCTGAGAATCTGGAAGGAGCACTGTGAAAAATTTCTGGTATCAAATAGTAGCGGTGAAGAGGATACCCCAGAACCAATAATAGATGACGGTATAGAATGTATGCCACCTAGCCAAGATGAGGTCAGAATAGCAATTAATTGGCTGAAGAATAATAAAGCAGCAGGTGCCGATGGGTTACATGCCGAACTATTCTAGATAGGTGGTCAGATGCTGGTCAGGAGCATGCATCAGCTGATTAGTACAATTTGGCTAGAAAAATGCATGCCCACTGATTTAAACCTCAGCATCCTGTGCCGATATGTGACAACTATAGAGGAATAAGTCTCCTTCCCATCGCATATAAAGTGCTATCCAGTGTGCTGTGTGAACAACTAAAGCCAATGGTCAATGACATTATTGGACCATGCCAATACGGCTTCAGACTTGGCAAATTCACCATTGACAAGATTTCCACTTCAGACCTGACAAATCCACCATTGACCAGATTTTCACTCTGCGCCCAATCCTGGAAAAAACACACGAAAACCACATCGTCGACTATAAAGCCGCATTCGTCAGACCTATCCGTTCAGAGGTGTATAAAGCCATGTCTGCGTTTGGCATTCCTGCAAAATTAATTCGGCTATGCAGGATAACTTTAACAGGCACAATATCAGCAGTTAAAGTCGGTTAGGACCTTTCGGAGCTCTTTAATACCGAACGAGGATTCAGACAAGGTGGTAGTTTGTCGTGTGACCTTTTTAACATCCTGCTGGAAAAGGTCATACGAGAGGCAAAGGCGAACAGAAATGGCTCTCTGTACACCAAACAACACATGTTACTCGCCTCGACTCGGACCAACTGTGGAACTTGAGAACTACAGCTTCGAGGTAGTCAAAGAGTTCATATATCTTGGTACCGCCATAAACAAAACGAATGACATCAGTTTTGAAATTAGGAGAAGTATAGTGATCTGCCAAAGTGGGTCTGGAAGTAAATGGCGAGAAGACCAAGCTGATGGTATCAACGTACAAGACGTCTACCGCTTCGAGGTAGTCAAAGATTTTATATACCTTGGTACCGCCATAAACGAATGACATCAGTTTTGAAATTCGGAGAAGGATAGTGATGGCCAACCGATGCTACTATGGTCTGAGCAAACAACTCAAATGTAAGGCCACCTCCCGCTAGACCAAACTCACACATTACAAGGCGCTGATACTACCCGTGCTGTTATACGGATCTGAAGCATGGGTACTTACGCAAACAGATGAGGCAGCTATTGGAATGTTTGAGAGAAAAAATCTCCGAAAGATCTATGGGCCAATCTGCATTGACGGTGAATATCGCCGTTGAATGAACCATCAATTGTACCAGCTATTCTCGGACATCGACATTGTTAGACGTATTGAGCTGCAGCGACTACGCTGGCTAGGTCATGTTGTGAGAATGAATGAAGATGCCCCAGCCCAGAAGGCATATAAAAGCGAACCAGCTGATGATTCATGCAGAAGGGGAAGGCCAAGAATACGTTGGAAAGGTCAAGTTATCAAAAAATACACCTCTGTATTTGTGTCCGATTGCTGTCAAAATTGCTGCTTTGGCAGGTTAGCTTCCGACTGATTACATTTTTTCAAATGGTGGTTTTATTAAATTAAAATATTTTTTTGTGTAAATATGTGTTTTATTTATTTAATTTCAATTATCTGTCATGACAATGTATTGAAAGTCCATTGGCACACGCTTTGCGTCGCCGTTTATGTTGTCATTTACTGTGAGTGAATGTCAACGCCGTGGCAACACTGCTAACAGCTGTTCGTTGTTATGTTTTGTTGTTTTTGAATCGTCAACCTTACCACCAGCCACCCAACCAGATTCCATTAGTTATTTAATTTCATCCGATGTTTCGAATAAATAAAATTCAATTAAAATATTTGAGCCGAACACTTCTATCACCTCGTCTGATACACACAGTGCAGCAACAACCATCCGATGTCTATGATGTCCTGATAATTGGAGGTGGTCATGCTGGTTGTGAAGCAGCAGCGGCTGCTGCTCGTATGGGAGCACGAACAGCCTTAGTGACCCACAAAAAGGAAACGGTGGGTGAAATGTCCTGCAATCCCTCATTCGGAGGCATTGGAAAAGGCCATCTAATGCGTGAAATTGATGCTTTGGGTGGTGTCTGTGGTCGGATGTGTGATAAATCGGGAGTGCAATATAAAATCTTAAATCGCCGGCGTGGGCCAGCTGTATGGGGTCCAAGGGCACAAATTGATCGTAAACTCTATAAGAAAGCAATACAGGAGGAGTTGTTCCATATGGCCAATTTGGATGTGCAATGTGCTGCGGTGGATGATTTGCTAATAGAGCCGGTAGATGATGGCAAGGCGCGGCAGTGTAAAGGTGTGATTTTACAAAATGGCCAGGTGCTAAGGAGTAATGCTGTTGTCTTGACCACGGGTACCTTTTTAAGGGCGCACATTAATTTTGGTTTGGAGGTAAGACCCGCCGGGAGGATGGGTGATGCTCCCGCTATGGCATTGGGTCAAAGTATTGAAAATCTGGGATTTTCAATGGGCAGACTGAAGACAGGAACCCCTCCACGCCTGGCCAAGGATAGCATTGACTATAAACGTTTAGTCAAACATTTAGGGGATGATCCTCCCACACCATTCTCCTTTATGAACGATGAGGTATGGATAAAGGCCTCCGATCAGCTACCCTGTTACTTGACCTACACCACACTGAATGTAAATAAAATTGTCAAGGATAATTTACATGTAAATCGTCATGTTACCGAAGAAATAACGGGACCACGTTATTGTCCTTCCATAGAATCGAAAGTTTTGCGGTTTGGTGAAAAGCAACATCAGGTTTGGTTGGAACCGGAGGGCTTTGATAGTGATTTAATTTATCCCCAAGGCTTGTCATGTACCCTACCCTATGAACAGCAAATTGCATTGGTCCATAGTATAGAGGGTTTGGAAAATGCCAAGGTTGTGCAGCCGGGTTATGGTGTGGAATATGATTTCATTGATCCCCGGGAACTTTATCCCAGTTTGGAAACGAAGCGAGTTAAAAATCTTTACTTTGCTGGACAGATTAATGGTACCACCGGATATGAGGAGGCTGCGGCGCAGGGTATAATTGCTGGAGCCAATGCAGCGGCCAAGACGGTACGTTCGCATGAAAATTCCGAGGCAGAACAACTTGCCATTAGTCGTACGGAGGGTTATATTGGTGTACTGATTGATGATCTCACCAGTTTGGGTACCAATGAACCATATCGCATGTTTACCAGTCGTGCCGAATTCCGTTTGACTTTGCGACCGGATAATGCAGATATACGATTAACGGAAAAGGGTTACCAATTTGGTTTGGTTACCAAAGAGCAGTATGACCACTTCCAAAAAACCAAAACGGAATTGGATAATGCCAAGGAGTTACTGAGGAGCATTAAGAAACACACCAACTATTGGCGTGAGGCTTTGGGTGGGGTAAAATCAAAAACATCTGTGGAAAAGACAGCCTTTGATATGTTGGGTATACCGGCCGACAATGTTACCTTGGATAAATTAATAAAACTTATGCCAGAAGAATTGGGCCATTTAAAGGATCACAGGTTGCTGGGTGAAAGAATTAAAATCGAGGCCTTATATTCACATTTTGTTGAAGAACAATTTAAAGATGTCGAAGAGGTGCGAAGGGAAGAAAGCCTTGTTATACCCAAAGATATTGATTATTTTGCCAAAAGTTTAAGCCTTTCCAATGAGGAGCGACAAAAGCTGACCATGATACAACCACAAACTATAGCTGCTGCCAGTCGTATACAAGGTGTAACACCATCGACGATAGTGAGATTGCTGAAATATGTTAAACGTATGGAGGAACCAAGGCCACAGGAAAGCAGTGCGGTGTTGAGTTGAGGGGGGAATCGATTTTTTCAAATTTTGTTATAGCTATTTGTTTAAATTAGTTGTAAATATAAATAAAAATAATATAGGACATAAAATAAAGATTGAAAATGAAAAAAAAAAATGATTAATTTTTGGGGAGGCTTCAAGAATTTATTTATTTTATTCCAAAAAAATGCAATTTGAAGCCATTAAGGCCGATTTCATTATGTAGAAAAATTGAGAACTACTCCAAAAAATAATTTCGAATAAATAAATTACAGTTCTTTCAAACCGATTTTTTATACCCACCCAGAAGTTTCCAATCCCACGACTGATGTGGGAAAGCATGGTAAACAAGTGTTGGTCGTTATATAAGTCAAAAATTTAAGCTGTACCGCCAATAGTTTCCAATGTGATTTATAAAACACTCTGAACACCAGAAGTACTAAGTGGCAGTCGATTCAAAAATCTTGAAACCTTTTCAAACCTTAAACACCCCACAATTAAAAAGTATGAAGGTACTGAAAATACCCTAAAGAAACCAACTTTTAAAAATTCAGAATAAGTATTGCAAAATCCAATCTAGAATCAGCATCAAATAGCATTTTTTTGTAATAATTAAATAATTATTGAACACATTTAAAAAAAAGCTTTATTTTATAGTGTATCGGATTTATTACATCCAGTAGATCTAAATTGTTCCATTATATTTATATAAATCCTCATAGAGGAGGTTAATCCAAAAAAAATCTGTTTCATTAAAAATTCGAAATGTTAACCTCTTGAAAGTATTCATTAATAGTATAATAAAAACTCCTGAAGTTTAATTTGAGAATTTGTGTTTTAAACCCTTTAAAAAATCCCTAAAAAATTAAAAAGATCAATTTGATGGTCTTGAACTTGTTCTCATTAAAAACTGCTCGTATATATTAAATTCTGATCCTAAAAATAACATCATAATAGTGTGTAATATCCATATTTTTCAAAATTATACCATTTTTATTTAAATTAATTGTTTAAATATATTAAATTCTTTAAAGAAACCACATTTCAAACTATTCCTCCCCGCCGTCAACAAATACAATTGAACGGCGTCAACTTTTAACTGGCATGCTATCATTTCACAGTGAATGAATCAAATAAGCCTGCCTCTGACAACAAATAACAGCTGTTCTTATCTCTGCCGCCTCACAGTTGTTTTCCTCTCTCGCTCTCTTATCAGTTTTGTTACTCCTATCAGACAACCAGAATTATTTTAATTGTTTTTATCTTTTTGTTCATTAATAAAATAAAAAAAAGTCAAGAAAATTCCGTTTATATTCTAATTAAGAGGCTATACATCGCACAGTTAGTCGTCCACAGCCGTCCAGTTTAGTAGAATACGTTGTGCAGCTTAAAAGAAATGTCATCAGCAGCAACAGGTTCCAGTGCGTCGGGCGGTAAATATTGTTTTGCCATTGATCGTGGCGGTACTTTTACCGATGTTATGTGCCTATGTCCCGATGGACGGGTACGTACCCTGAAATTATTGTCTGAGGATCCGGCACGTTATAGTGATGCACCCCGTGAATGTATAAGGAGAATTTTAAAAGAGGTGAGTGCATGCATGCAGTTTTTTGTTTGACCTTGAATTTTTTAATGAGTTTTGTTTGTGGATTTAAAAGAAATATGATGGGTTTAGTGGTACAAGTGTGTTTGTAGACAGTGGGATGATATCTGAACTTTGGAGTCGGGTGTGACAAAAATTAGAAGATGAGCTAAGAAGTGGTCATAAATTTTGACAATTGATGGACTACTTGGGGATTAGAGAAGGTGTTATATTTGCGGAACATATAATTATGTGGGAATCAATCAATAGATATGCAATAGGAAATATAGAAACAGTTTCTCATATCGGCAAGGAGGAATGAGTGTGAAAAATTAGTGTATGTTTGTAATGCCATTTATTTAATTTTTTTTAGTAAATCCCCATTTTAGTTTCCACTTCTTGATAGACAGGTCCATTATTGTTATGCTAGCTCCATTTGTGACCTTGAAGTTTGAATTTGAAATCAGTATGTGATTGAGTACCTCAAAATAGTTATTATTACAGCGATTAGTTAGCCAAACAAATCGGTGAATTTTTTTTTTTTTTCATGTAATTTCCCGAATAATTTTTGGTACAAGGTAACATGAATTATTTTGAACATATTTTAGATTATATTGTATTAATATTCCTCCTACCTTTTTAGCTGTTGTGTTTTGCCAGATATTATTAAGATAAATATACATACAGGGAGATAAGCAAAGTGTCAAATCATTATGGGTTTTTCAAGACTCAGACATTTGATACAACCACCAAACAAAAAAACTGCAATAAATCATCGGAAGCCAGCGTATACGAAAAAAACATCCGAAGCAAGACCTACGGGGTTTAATGTTGTCACCTGAGATACGACATTTTTTTTTAAATAACAGTAGGTCTGTTATAAAAACAAACAAACTCTGTGAAGATTTTTATGATCTGGACACTTTAATGTCAGAACTTCTGAATTTTGTGGAAAGAGCCATTAACATATACTTTAAGAAGTTAAGACATGCGGCATCAATCTCCCTATTATTAAAAATTAATCTTTTGGTTATAATAAAAACCAAACCAAGCACTCTTGATTCCAGGGCACACCACTGTCCACCATGCATCGCAGACAATAAATCAAACCCGAAAACCTCAGTACTTACATGAGGATATGAAGATCCTTCCTGTGCGTCAACACAACAAGATGTTGCTTGGGTTTTATAGGAGTAGTCATCCAAACCATTACCTAATGGTAATGGTTGGAAGGATCTCCATGATCTGGAGAGAGAGAGAGAGAGGTCCAAAGGTACAAAAAGGAGCCCCTAGATCAACAGACCTATCAAGCAGGATTGAATCGAATTCACACGAATGCAGTTGACGAAGCAATTCGAGAATATCGTGTGAATACCATCCTCGGAGATCACCCGCCTACGATAGCTGCAGAAGAGCAACAGCTACCTCGACAAACCAGAGTGGTCGTGGCACAACTAAGATCTGGATGGTGTAGCCACCTCAATTCATATTGGGCAGGAATTGATGGATAGGTCGACAACATCTGCCCGGTATGTAGTAATGGACCACATGACCCGCTACACCTATTCAACGACCCAGCCAAACCCACTCACTTAACCCCATCTTCTCTTTGGACTCGACCGATACAGGTCGCAGCCTTCCTGAGCTTGGAGGTAGAAGCAGAAGCAGATTAAGGAGAATAAGAAGAAATACACATCAGTACAAGCTGCTACAACAACAACAACCTCAGGTTAACTTTAAATTTAATCGGAAAATCATTATCCAAAAATCGTTAGTTTCCCAAATTGAAATCTCCAGAGTGTTTCGTAGGTATTTTTTTCTATTTTTTTTTAATATATGGCGTACAGCAATTTTAGCATTTTGTTGTATATAACCCATATAGGCCTGGACCACATTATGGCCATGAGAATCAATTAATTCGGATACCAATTGTATAACCTTTCGATTGGCAGCAATTTGTGCTTTGAGATAGTAAATTGCCTCTGTGACTTACTTGCAGAACACTGAGGCTATGACTGTAAAATCTGGCAGATAAGAACTTCCTGTGTCAGGATCAATATTTTTCTTTTACATTTTATCCTCTTAATAACTTCCCATCTGCTCAGACATCGTCCTCCTTACTGAGCAACGTTATATATTTCTAATTTAATCCCATTCCAATCTAATCCATCTCTTTTCTCTTAATTTTTCTTTGCAGGAAACCGGTGTCGATTTAACCCCAGAAGGTTTGGTGGATACCTCACGCATTGGCTGGGTGCGTATGGGTACAACAGTGGCCACCAATGCTTTACTGGAACGTAAAGGAGACCCAGTGGCCTTGGTGGTTAACAAGGGTTTCCGTGATCTCCTCTACATAGGAAATCAGGCAAGACCTAAAATCTTTGAGTTGGATATCAAGAAACCCTCCAATTTATATAAAACTGTGGTGGAAGTAGATTGTCGTATTGTCCCGGTTATGTCCGATGAGAAGTGTCAATTGAAAGGAAGTAAGTAAAATATAGAAAAAAATATCTTGGAGACGCTACATTTTTCTATTTTTTCTTTTATTTTCGTAGAAGAATCCTGGCGTGTCTTACCAGGTGCTGGCGATTCGCGGTATTTAGAGATGACCCCCGTTGATGAGGTGGCTGTGCGTTCAGCATTGGAGAAGGTCAAAAAGGAAGGCATCACTTCAGTGGCTGTGGTATTGGCCCACAATTATTCCTGTCCCGAACATGAGTTGAAAATTGGCAGCATTGCCAAGGATTTGGGTTTTGAATATATCACGTTGTCTCATCAGGCCATGCCAATGTTTAGATTAGTACCCAGAGGTTATACCACCTGCGCTGAGGCCTATTTGACACCTCATGTAGAACGGTATTTGAATAGGTGAGTTTGAGGACCAGATAGAAGAGGATATTGAATGGAAAGCGAATTTAGAACAATAGATTCGTTTTCAATTCCTAGAAAAAATACCTCTAGAGGACTGTCGATTTGTTTCTATATTGAAAAAATATAACAGCTGGGCTTAGGAATGGTTTCTATTCCTTAAAATGCTCCAGCTGGACTGATTAATTTTTTATATACGGAAATAATACCACAGACGAGATAACGATTTTTTTTTTAGGGGAAAATACCCCAGCCTTGAAAAATATAAAATACCCCATTCAGACAGAATTGGTTTCTATAAAAAATATCAAAAAAAATTGTCAGGCTGCCTGGAGTGTCTGAAGATTTTTGGAAATTTTTCTATACATAAAAAATATCTCAGCTTGATGATGTATTTTATTCTACCCATTTCTCTTTTCAGCTTCAAATCTGGATTCGACAAACAACTGGAAGGTGTCGAGGTCTTGTTCATGCAATCCGATGGTGGCTTAACCCAAATCAATAAATTCCGTGCTTCTCGTGCCATTCTCTCCGGCCCAGCTGGTGGTGTTGTGGGTTACGGTATTACGGGTTCCCGTGAAACTGATTTACCTTTGATTGGTTTTGATATGGGTGGCACCTCAACAGATGTTTCCCGTTATGCTGGATCCTATGAACATGTTGTTGAAAGTACAACAGCTGGCATTACCATTCAAGCACCACAATTGGATATTAACACTGTGGCAGCTGGTGGTGGTTCACGTTTATTCTTCCGTTCCGGTTTGTTTGTGGTTGGCCCGGAGAGTGCTGGTGCCCACCCGGGACCGGCATGTTATAAAAAAGGCGGTCCCTTAACTGTGACTGATGCCAATTTAATTTTGGGCCGTTTAAAGCCGGAATATTTCCCGAAAATTTTTGGTCCCAATGAAAATGAACCATTAGATTTTGAAGCCTCCAAGGTGAAGTTTGAGGAGCTGCAAAAGGAAATCAATAGCAGCTTGAAGGAGCAGGGTAGCAACAAACAAATGTCCTTAGAGGAAATTGCCTTGGGTTTCATACGTGTGGCCAATGAGGCCATGTGTAGGCCCATTAGAGCCTTGACCCAGGCTCGAGGTTTGGATACCTCCAAACATGTGCTGAGTTGTTTTGGTGGTGCTGGTGGTCAACATGCTTGCGCCATTGCCCGAGAATTGGGCATCTCCAAAGTTTTGATACACAAATATGCTGGTATCCTATCGGCCTATGGCATGGCCTTGGCTGATGTGGTCAATGAGGTGCAGGAGCCAAGTGGTTTGGAATTCTCGGCCAACAATGAAGCTTTGCTAAAGAAAAGTTTGGAAAATCTCAAGGAAAAGTGTCGCTCCAGCCTTAAAGAACAAGGTTTTGAGGATATTGTCTTGGAAACCTTCTTACACTTGCGTTACGAGGGAACCGATTGTGCCTTAATGTGTACCCAATCGCCAGATACCTCAGAGTGGTTGGGTGGTTTTGAAAAAACCTTCCTTGATCGTTATCGCACAGAATTTGGGTTTGTTCTACAAAATCGTCGCATTGTTGTGGATGATATTCGTGTAAGGGGTTTGGGTAAAAATAAAACACCCCCAGAATTGGAAATTGAAGAGGCCGGTAATGAAGTGCCACCCAATGAAGGAATTGCCATGGTTAGTTTTGATCAAGGCACACTGGAGGCACCAATTTATTTGACCCAAAAGTTACGTTATAAACATAAGATATGTGGCCCGGCCATTATCATTGATCAATTATCGACGATTTTGGTGGAACCCAATTGTGAGGCTGTGGTTACCAAATTTGGAGATCTAGTGGTGAATATTAAATCCTCACAGGATAACAAGGTTGATGAGAAATTGGATGCTGTCCAGCTGAGTATTTTCTCACATCGTTTTATGAGTATTGCCGAGCAGATGGGAAGGTATGAATGCCATCAACTTTATTTTCTAATGATTTCTTTTAAATCATAAATTTCCGTTTTAGGGTTCTACAGCGCACCTCCATATCGACAAATATCAAGGAACGTCTAGATTTTTCATGTGCCTTATTTGGCCCAGATGGTGGACTGGTTAGTAATGCTCCCCATATACCCGTTCATTTGGGTGCCATGCAAGAAACCGTGCAATATCAGTTGAGGGTGCGCGGCAAGACCCTGAAAAGTGGTGATGTTATTTTGTCCAATCATCCTCAGGCTGGTGGTTCCCATTTGCCAGATTTGACCGTCATAACCCCAGTGTTCTACAAGTAAGTCCACAGACCCAACTTTTCGGGGAAAATGCTAATTTTATTCCTTTTCTTCTTTCAGAGGCCATGACACTCCCGTGTTCTTTGTTGCCTCGCGCGGTCATCATGCCGATATTGGTGGCATAACACCCGGCTCTATGCCACCCCATTCTACTTCGTTGGCCCAGGAAGGTGCCTCCTTCAAATCATTCCTTATTGTTGAAAATGGTACATTCCAAGAGGAGGAGGTGGTAAGACGTTTCACCACACCCACTGGTGCAGAGGGTGCTACTGGTACCCGCAATTTGTCGGATAACATCTCCGATTTGAAAGCACAAATTGCTGCCAATCAAAAGGGTATACAATTGGTATCGGAATTAATTGATTCCTATGGCCTTAATGTGGTCCAGGCCTATATGGGCTATATACAACAAAATGCTGAAGTTGCTGTGCGCGATATGCTCAAAGAAATTGCCAAAAATACCTATGAACGCACTGGAGGTTACATTTTGGAAGCTGAAGAATTTATGGACAATGGTTCGCCGATTAAATTGAAAGTAAGTCTCAACTCCGAGCAGGGTTCGGCAGTGTGTGATTTCACCGGTTCCGGTACTGAGGTATGGGGTAATTGCAATGCTCCCCGAGCCATCACTCTCTCGGCCTTGATTTATTGTCTACGCTGCATGGTGGGCCATGATGTCCCCCTGAATCAAGGCTGCCTAGCACCCATTCGTGTTATTATACCCAAAAATTCCATTTTGGATCCTTCCGAAGGTGCTGCCGTTGTGGGCGGCAATGTCTTAACATCTCAACGTATTGTAGATACCGTGCTGAAAGCATTCCGTGTCTGTGCTGCCTCCCAGGGTTGCATGAACAACATTACCATTGGCGATGAACAATGGGGTTATTATGAAACTGTGGCCGGTGGTGCTGGAGCTGGTCCCCAATGGCATGGTGCCGGTGGTGTCCATACCCATATGACTAATACACGTATCACCGATCCGGAAATTATGGAATTACGTTATCCCATGATATTGCAAAGATTCTGTTTGCGTACCGATGAATCGGGTGGTAAGGGTCTTTATCATGGCGGTGAGGGAGTGGAGAGACATATTTTGTTCCGCAAACCGGTTACATTGTCTGTGCTGACAGAACGTCGTACTTTACAGCCTTATGGAATGAATGGTGGTGAACCCGGCAAGAGAGGTTTGAATTTGTTGCTGAAGCCAGATGGTCGTGTTATTTCGCTGGGTGGCAAAACATGCATTAATGTGGATGCGGGGGTAAGTTTTAGAAGAGTATCAAAAAGGAATGAATTTTTAATTGATATTTATTTTCTTTTGCAGGATATCTATGCCATGAAAACTCCTGGAGGTGGTGGTTATGGTGCCAAATCATGTGAAACCGCACCAAAGAGTGATGATGCGTCTCAGCAAAAATCTGTGTTTTTAGAACGTGGTTCTGTCTATGAATATCGTCAAGCCCAGGAATCGGTTTAAATGTTTTTGGTTTCTATTTTTCTATAATTGTTCAACGATTTGTTTTTTTTTTCATAAAAATGTTTTTTTGATGTGCAATAAACGTTATCGTTGTGATTTTATTGAGACCAAAAATTAATTATTTTTGGAGTTTCTTTCATCTGGAAGGAATATTAAGAAGTTGTGGTGTAAATGTCTGAATATGTTGGTCCTCTTATAGATGTGCGATAAGGGGTGTGAATTTGGATAGTTGCTCCTTGTTTTGATGTTTTAAGAGCACGATTTAAAAAAAAATCGATTTAGATATAGCTCCCATATGTTTTCCGTTCGACCATATTTTTTTCTTAATATTTGTAAATGTTTTAGTATGTAATAAAACTTTAAAATTCCCTCTAACCATTGGTGAAACATTTATAAAAATCGGTTAAGTATTCGCCGAGTTATTAGCATTTGAATTAAACGATGTTCCAAAATATTCTTGCTGCTCAGTGCTGGGCGCCTATTACCTGAAAATGAAAAACCACAGAAAAATGCATGTTTCAAAAACGGCAATTTTTCTTTCTGGCTGCTGTTTTGAGAAGAAAGCTGTAGCATACTTTTAGGTCAAATACAGTATGTATGTAGTCCAATATATATATATATATATATGATTGTTTTTACGCACACATTTTAATTGTTTTTTTGCACACATACACAGTAGCCATTATGAGAGAAGAAATTTTGCCGATTTTTAAAAATGCATTTTTGTGTGATTTTTCATTTTTGGGTAATAGCCGCCCAGCACCGAACCGTAAGTATAATTCACAACATGGTTGAATTCAAATGCAAATAACTCAGCAACTACTTAACCGATTTTTATAAATTTTGCACCAATGGTTAGGAAGAAATGTAAAGTTTTGTGCCATATTGACAATACATATATAAACATGTGTTATATAAGAGAAAATTAGCATTATGTAAAAGTTCAAAGATATTTAAAATATCGACCAAATTTTTGGTTAAATATAAACAAAGTACACTATTTTTGTTCGATTTATACGAAATACCTCTGTGATATTTCTGTCATCTAGTCAGTAGTCCTCTGATAGGGTTCTCCAGCTGCCTAAGGCCTGCTGAAGTTCCTCCTCCATCTATGGTAGGCATGTGCAGGTTATTCTGTCTGTGGATAACCTTTTGAAGGCCTTCTATCTGTAGAAGATGGATATTTTTAATAGACAAAAACTCGCAAAATTTCTTCAATATGTAGAATACTTAACCCGAGTTGTGCTAGCGTGACCATATGGTCACACTCATAATACGATCAATAAATCATCTAAAAAACCTGTACCCGAGCAGTGTTAATGTGAACATACGGCCACAGCCCAAAAATTGATCCTGTCGATTATCCTGATAAGAAAATAGGATACAAATCAAATTTTTGAATTCAGTGATCCACAATCTAGAGAGGCTAAAAGTTTCGTCCCACAATTCGAAAAAAAAATAATTAAAGCACTATTAGGGTTAAGAGTTTCAATGAGGGTTTGAAGACAAATGCCCTTTTATAGACAGAAAATGAAGTGTGTATGACGATCGAGGATAAAATACGGCATTTTTTCAATATGGATATGCAAAAATTTCTATAAAGGACATTATATTGTATGTATGCTCGTAGAGGCCATTTTGTCGGATCTTCTATAGATAGAATACATTAAAAACACTTTATAGACAAAATATCTTGAAGAATACTTCTATTAACAGAAGGCCTTCAAAAAATCGACCTCTCTATAGACCGACAGCCTTCATAAAGGTCCTCTATGTGTAAAATGCATTTATGAGGTCTTCTCTATAAATACAAAACCTTCAAAAGGTTTCCGGCATACGGAAGATCTTCAAATGACTTCTATGGAAATATAAGATCTTTCAAAGAACTTCGATTAAATGGAGATCTTCAAAATGTATACAGGTCTTCAAAATGTATACAGCTTCGTTCTTGGGCTAAATAAATGACCTATGCCAAATTACATCAAAATCAAATCATAAATGCGACCTGTACTTTGTTCACAAAAATACATGGACGGACGGACAGACGGTCATGCGTAAATCGACTCAGAAAGTGATTTTATGCATATTCTTAAAAGGAACCATGTGTCTATATCGTTTCCTTTTCCCTGTTACTAACATATGCACAAAGACATAATACCCTGTACCACAGTGTGGTGAAGGGTATAAAAACGACTAACACGGATCTCAGTTACGGTAGCGTATATTGGTGTACATGGCTGGTCAAAAGACACAAACACTTTAGATGTAATTTGGCATTTTGGTTAGGCCTTTCGAAATACTAAAAATTTACCGGGACCTTTGTGTAGTATTTCAGGGAGACTTTGACGCCGTAATGCCAAATTACAGAAACATAATTTCATAAATGAGGTTAGGGCCTTCAACAAAATTTAGAATCAAGTTTAATTTGTTAGACTTTATATAATCCTGTCGGTGATAAAGGCTTTGCATTTGAAAATAACTTCCTGTAATTGCCGATCATTCGTGTAAATTTATTGAGAACAAAATTTGATTTGTTTCAGCATTTTTTTTTTTTTTTTGTAGCAAAGGACGTTCTGGAATATATTAGATGAGTGACAGGGATAAGAATGCGATTCCGGGCAGACATTGTGTTAAAAATTTCATCTTCAATCATATTTGTGTTGCCATGAATGAAGAGACTGTTATAATTGAACTCGTTTATTAAACTGAAAATGCGAATACATATAGGAACATATTTTTTCGTCTTTACTCCTCCTCCAACTAGTCCACTTCCTATTTAGTATAGGCCCATATATCATACGTAGACAAAGTCCAAAAATCTTTAAAAAAATCGAGTTCAGCTTCAATTAGTTGATGTTTTGTGAATTGATAGGTTATCGGTATACGAAGAATTTCGTCTAATATGATAAACACGTGTTAGTTAAGCGAAGGCTTAACGAATCGCCATTTTGTAAAATGTTATTTTTTAAGCCCGTGGGCGTATTATACTTTTTAATTGCGTCCTTTTTGTGAGCCGTCCGAAGACGAACTGTAGAATCATATATGTACCAAGGCCAAGGCATACTAAGATTAATTTATGTAATGATATACAAAGTGATTTATGAAAAAGTGCAATATTTGATTCAATTATCAAAACTCTACCTGAATTAAACGGCATATACATTGGAACATTTTACCAGCTTAACCTACTTTATGAAGATTTATTTGACATATATACAAAGGAATTGGTAATTGAAACCCACTGGGTTAACGAAATCCGGTTAAATGTAAACGTACTATTAAATATTACTATTTCAATAATATAACTACAAAAAATGCAAACCGAAAATTAATCTTTGCCAAAAAATCCTTTAAAATATTCGAACTTTTGTGGCGTTAACATCTGTGGCAAAAACATCTGCAACCATTTCTTTTGTTGATAAATATTTCATTATTGTCAATTTTCTGTCTAAAAAAAATTGGCTTAATGTCACCATGTTTCGTCCTTGACGAATATTTGTTATCATATCATAGTACAAAACCATATTGGCATTGCTGTTCGGACTGATTTTTTTTTCGAGTCGTTTTAACCAAACAGATTCCTGTATAGCTGCTATAATTGCCATAAACTCAGCTTCAGTTGAAGATAGTGCCACAGATTTTTTTTTTACTTTTTGTAGACCATGATATTGCTGCTGATTGAAAAATTAAGACATGGCCAGTTCGTCGAATGACGATCATCCATATTTCCAGCCAAATCTGCATCACAATAACCGGTAATATCCTTCTTCTAGACTTTTATTATAGACGAGTCCTTGTTCAATGGTCCCTTTAAAATAACGCATTATCCTTTTTATACCCTTCACCACACTGTGGTACAGGGTATTATGTCTTTGTGCATATGTTTGTAACAGGCAAAAATAATCGAGATAGATTATGCATAGAATCACTTTCTAAGTCGATTTATGCATGTCCGTCAGTCCGTCTGTCCATGTTAAATTGTAAACAAAGTACAGGTCGCATTTATGATCCGAATAGGATGAAATTTGGCATAGGTCACTTATTCGGCCCAAGGACGAACCCTATTGAAATTGGGAAAAATCGGTTCAGATTTAGATATAGCTCACATATATATATTTAACCGATTTAATGTAAACGACCCCTAAATATCTTTCGATTTGCACGAAATTTGGTACAGCCTAATCATTTAGGTCTAGAATGATGTCTGCCAAGTTTAGTGAAAATCGGTCCAGATTTAGATATAGCTCCCATATATAGATTCGTCCGATTTCATGTAAATTGTGCCCCAAAGTCCGTATATATCTTTTGATTTGCACGAAATTTGGTATAACGTACTGAATTAAGCCTAGAGTGATGTCTGCCAAGTTTCGTGAAAATCGGTCCAGATTTAGATATAGCTCCCATATATAGTTTCGTCCGATTTCATGTAAATGGTGCCCCAAAGTCTCTATATATCTTTCGATTTGCACGAAATTTGGCATAACGTACTGAATTGAGTCTAGAATGGTGTCTGCCCAGTTTCAAGAAAATCGGTCCAGATTTAGATATAGCACCCATATATAGTTTCGTCCGATTTCATGTAAATGGTGCCCCAAAGTCCCTATATATCCTTCGATTTGCACGAAATTTGGCATAACGTACTTAATTGGGCCTAGAATGATGTCTGCCAAGTTTCATGAAAATCGGTCCCGATTTAGATATAGCTCACATATATAGTTTCGTCCGATTTAATGTAAATGGGGCCCCAAAGTCCCTATATATCTTTCGATTAGCACGAAATTTGGTACAGCCTAATCATTTAGGTCTAGAATGATGTCTGCCAAGCTCCGTGAAAATCGGTCAAGATTTAGATATAGCTACCATATATAGTTTCGTCCGATTTCATCTAAATTGTGACCAAAATCCATATATATCTTTCGATTTGCACGAAATTTGCCAAGTTTCGTGAAAATCAGTCCAGATTTAGATATAGCTCCCATATATAGTTTCGTCCGATTTCATGTAAATTGTGCACCAACATCCATATATATCTTTCGATTTGCCCGAAATTTTGCACAACGTACTGAATTGAGCCTAGAGTGATGTCTGCCAAGTTTCGATAAAATCGGTCCATATTTCTATATAGCTCCCACATATAGTTTCGTCCGATTTCATGTAAATGGTTCACCAAAGTCGCTATATATCTTTCGATTTGCACGAAATTTGGCATAACGTACTGAATTGAGCCTAGAGTGATGTCCGCCTTGTTTCGTGAAAATCGGTCCAGATTTAGATATAGCTCCATTTTATTATAGATTGATTTTATGTAATTGACGCACCAAGGAACCAATAGGAACAAAACGTTCTAAAGTTAGTATAACCTAACCTGTGACAAGTTTGTTTGAAATCGCTTAATATGTGGATATAGCTTACATATATTTTTTCGCCCGATATCAAGCAAATTGGGCATCATACTCCTCATGTTAGTCAGATTGACATCAAATTTTGCACAACGTACAAAATTGAGCATAGAATTACGTAGTTGCGTTTTCTAGAAGTACAGACATAGTCAACCGGATGACCTATTTATATTTGTTTGAAGTCGATTTACACACTTTATGGACAAATCTAGGTAGATTCACATTTAGATAAATATCACATATTTTATTTCATCCAATTTCATGTTAATAGTCCTGTTTAATGTACCCATAGTGGTGAAGGGTATCCTAGAGTCGGCCCCGTCCGACTTTACTACTTTCCTTACTGGTTAAAATTGAACTAGGTCGTTCACATCGTTCAGTTGTCTTATATCGTTCAAATGGCCGCTAAGTTTAATTGGTATTACATTTGAGCTGCCAGTTCCATCAACCGCAAAGAATTTTGACCGTGTTTAACGCCTTTCATTTGGTCAAAGCCAGAGCACCCCTGAACGACACTGGAGGTGTAGAATAAAATTCTGTGGCGTTCAGTGACCGATGACGTTTGGTAAACAAAATCGTTCAGTGAACGACAATAATAAACATTGAACTATGTCGTTCACTCGTTCAGTGTACTGACTCGTTCAATTAAACTAGGTCGTTTACGAACGACACAAGACTATTGTATAGCTCCTTTGTTATCACAGTACAAATGGATTGAGTTTTTTTTCGAGTCGTTTTAACCAAACAGATTCCTGTATAGCTGCTGTAATTGTCATGAACTCAGCTTCCGTTTTTTTTTACTATTTGTAGACCATGATATTGCTGCTGATTGAAAAATTAAGACAAAGCCAGTTGTCGAATGACGATCATTAAATTTTCCAGTCCAATCTGCAACACAATAACCGGTAATATTCTTCTTCTAGACTTTTCTTATAGACGAGTCCTTGTTCAATGGCCCCTTTAAGATAACGCATTATCCTTTTTACAGCTTTCCAATGAGTGAGGATTAGCTCAAAATCGGCTCAGGACATTCACAGCATAGTATATATCAGGACGCGAAACCTGTGCGGCATACAATAATCACCCAATACGGAGTGTTAGACATTTATTTTTCTTTTCAGCCTCGGTTTTAGGGGACATATTTTCGGATAACTTTTCATTCATTCCGAAACGTTTCAGAATATCTGATATATACTTAGACTGATTAATTTTGGATTTCTTCTCCAACTCGGGATATTGCCAATTACGATGGGGGAGCATAAAAAGTTCGTAGGTCTTCCATTAGAAAACAATTATTTTATTGAGAACAAAAATTAATTAATTTTTTTTCTGCTCAGACAGAATAAACTGTCCCGCCAGAAAAGGACTCCAAAAGAAGTAAATATTTTTTTCTTGTAATTTATTTCATAAAATCAAAAAGGTTTCGATTTTCTTTATTTCACATTTTTGTTTTTGGTATTTTACATTTGTTTGTTTATTTTGTTTTGCAAAAAACAGCTGATTATGACATTAATTGATTTGATTTTTTGTGGAGAGTTGGTTGTGTGTTTGTCTGTGGTTGATGAGAGAGTGATATTTTGTTTGTTTCTTTGCAATTTACGTTGATCATTTATTTTTTGGGTTAGCTATTTTTTTTTTGAATTATTTTTTTTTATTTTTTTGTGTTTTAATTTAATTTTTTTCACCAATTAATGTTGTTCTTTGCTGATTAAAACTGACTGACTGTCTGATTTTAGCTTATTCGACTATTATTTGCATGCTAGAGGAGGAAAAAGGAATTGTGGGGTTTGATTTGTTTTCTTCTTATTAAAAAATTAATTTTTTTGAATTAGCTTTGATTCAATTTGTTTGTTGTTGCTGTTGCTTTATTATTAAGAAAGGAACTGAAAAATTGTTGGGATAGTATTTGAAGAAAAAAAATTAAAATATATATTATGGCAAATAATGTTAGGTTATTATCTAAGGTTTTTTTTCTTTTTTTTTGTATAGTATATATTTTTTATTTTTTTTTTTATGTATAATAATATCTACATATATATAAAACGGACTAATTACACATTTATTGTTGTTAGATTTTAATTGGATTGTGTTTTTTTTTTTATTTTACATAATTAGCAACAAACTTAAGATGTTAGTGAATATATTCTTTTTAGATTTTGTTTGGCTTTGAACTTAAACTCTGGTTTGGAGGGTGGGGAAAGGGGTAAAGGGATTAATATTTTCCCGTTTTTTGTTTCAAAACATCCTTGCCACCTTCCCTTTTTATAATTTTTTGCCTTTGAAGGTTATAATTCGGTATGGAGGAGAAGATTTTTTAAACGTTTCTATAGAGCACCATTTTCGAAGTGTATTTTTTTAAAGTCTTCTTTAGCCCCTTCCCCATTTTTATTGTGATGTTCTATTTGAAATATTTTTTTGTGGAATTTGAATGAGTGATTTTTTTTGTTAATTTATTTTTTATATCTCTTTGTATTTTTATTTTTTATTTTCTTTTTTTCTTAAGTTTTATCACAGATGGCTCAAGATTTTCAAAATAGTTTTGTGTTCTTTTTTTGGTTGGTTTTGTATTTATTTTTTTTTCTCATACTATGCAAATAATTATTAAATTTAAAATGTGTCCACTGAAAATCTTTAATTTTTTATTTATGATTATAAGTTTTTGTTTTAGTTTTTTTTTTGGTAATATATAGAAGAAAAATATTTAATTTTTTTTCAATCTTGATTTTTTCGTTTTCTTTTTTATTTTTTTTAATTTTTATTTGGAATATTTATTATTATTTTTTTATTAAAATCACATTGAATTTATTTAACCTAAGTTTTTTTTATTTTATTTTATATAATTATACATAATTATTAATTATTTATAAATATAGTTCTTAGTGCTTAAACACAATTACGTTTATATAATTATTATTTATAGTTAAACATTAAGATTTTTTGTTTCGTTTTTTAATATATAAATTATTTATAGTTATTAAAAAAATAATAAAAAAAAATTATAATTATTTTTTTCTACTCTTTTTTATTTTTAAATTTCATTTTCAAAGTCTGTTTTCAATTCGTTTTATTTTGTTTGTTTATTTGTAGATGGAGTTACTCGAGTATATTTGATCCATGGTCTATTAATATAAGGTCATCCAGGAAGATCAGCTGGATATCAGCTGTTTCTCTAGTGTGCTGTCAGAATTCATTATTGTGAATTGACATTAGACTTGAGAAAACCAGCTGACTTTTGCTTGCTGGTTGACCTCATGGCCTATAAATAAGGTTACCCAGGGAGACCAGCTGGATATCTGTGCTACTCAAGTTTGCTGTCAAAATGTATTATTGTGAATTGACTTCCTTTATGAAAATGTAAACAAAGTCGAATTTTTTGACATTAGACTTGAGAAAAAAAGCAGTTTTCCGATTGCTACCTGGGCGACCACAAGATCTATTAATAAGGTCACCAAGATAGCAATCGAAATCGGAAAACAGCTGTTTTTTCTCAAGTCTAATGTCAAAAATTTCGACTTTGTTTACGTTTTCATAATGGAAGTCAATTCACAATAATGCATTTTGACAGCAAACTTGAGAGGTATCGATAATCAGCTGGTCTCCCTTGGTGACCTTATTTATAGGCCATGGACCCCATTAATAGCTCTTGATTTGATTCTCATGTAAAAGAATATTTTGAATACAGTTCAAAAATGAAGCCAAACAGTTGAAGGAAGGATTTCATCATGATGCAATAATAAGGTGATATATCAAAACAAAATCCTTTGTTTTTGTCTCGATCATCTGTCAATTTTTTCCTTATAATATTTCACATGGATGGCAACTTTGCACATCTCGAATTCAAGTGAACTTAACAACTTTGACAGTTGAAGGAGACATCAGCTGCCCTAAATGGACTACCTATTTATTGGGCCAAGGATTTCACCATCAGGTCGTACATAAATCAAAATATATTTCTCAAAGTGATTTAGCCTCCATTTTTTTCTATATACATATATAGCTACCCCTCCTCATGGAAGGTTTTTACACGTTGTATCCTTTGCAGGTTTTTTTTACCACCATCTTTTCACATTTTACTACTGCTAATTACTTAGATTCTTAAACAGATGATGTCATAAGGCTGACGACGACGATGATGATGCTGTTGTTCCAGCTGCGGCAGCGGATGGTCCTGTTGCTGGTGTTACCGCTGAGGATGGTTGATTGTTTGCTGACGACGACGCTTCATCGGTGTTATTACTGATACTATTTGAAGAGGCAGCTGCCGCTGCAGCGGCGGCGGCCGCAGCTGCTGCTGCAAAACTAACACTTAACGCATTATGTAGTGGGGTATGTTTTGTTTCCGTCTCTGTTGAATAGAATTTAAAGAAAATTTTATTAATAGGAAATTTTTATTAGTTTAATTTTGAAGTCCGGAGGTCCAAAGATCTGTCAGATGACAATTAAATAGGTCAAGGTTATTTGTCAAGCAATAACGGCATCTTTAAACACCAACAAGCAAAACGTGCCACAATTTACTCTGTTCGGAAAATAAGTCAACCTTCCAACCAAATGGTAAATATTGGAAGTCATCGCCACAGAGGGATTTGCTGCACTAATGTCAATGGAGAGCCCACATTCAACTTCATTCTAAAATATAATCTTAGAATTGTAACCGGCATATTACGGCAAAAACACAGTAGAATTCGATCTTCAGAAGCCATACAAAATCTCAGTATGTTGAAAATGCGCGGTGAAAAAAAGAAGGATTTCCGACATTAATGATAATGGCAAGTTCGTCCATATTCAATTTTATACTTAAATATAATCTTAGAATTGTATTTCAGAAACCATACATAAATCACAGTATGTTGAAAGAGCACAGTGAACGAAATATTCTTTGCAGATTTAAAAAATACATCGGAGGATATCCGACACTAATGTCAATGGGGAGTTCTTATTCAATTTTATACTTAAATATAATCTTAGAATTGTAACCGGCATAGTGCCACAAAAACACAGTTGGATCCGATCTTCAGAAGCCATATCGAAATTTAAAAAAATTGAAAGAGCACTGTGAACGAAGTATTCTTCCGAGATTCTATAGTGCGCTTTTCAGTAAAGATGAATACTTTTAAAACGAAACTAATGTCAACGGGGAGTCCATATTAAATTTTATACTGAAATATAATCTTAGAAGTTTAGAGTTTTTTTAGAGTTTTTTTTTTTTAAGTCAAGTCACATATCTTGGTGAATCCGAAGATGTTCTAGGAATAAATATTTAAAAAGACAAAAAGGGGTAAAGAAGCGGCATATATTTTAAATGAAAAAGGAAAGGGAAGGTGAAAAGCCCAAAAGACACAAGAATTACTGAGGATCTCCAAATGCCGAGAAATTTATGGAGGATAAAACTCTCCCTCTAGGGGTTTCAGAAAGGATCTGCATGTGGAATAATCTTACACCAATAAACTTATGGAGAGGGTCGGAATAGCACTCGCAATAATACAGTTCGCCCTCAAAGTTTAGCCTCAATCCATCGAAGCTGAAGAACGTTACAAGCTTACACAAACCAGAGTAATTTTGGCTCAACTACGTTTAGCATGATGTAGTCGTCTCAATTTATATTGGCACAGGAATTGATGACAATGTATAGAATGTCTGCCCAACATATGGTACAGGTCCGAATTTTGTATATTTTCTTTCTTGTTTTAATTTTAAATCCGCAAAGCCTACTCAACTTGTTCCAGAAGAAAAAAATAAGTACTTTCATATTGGAAAGGAAACTAATTATTCCATTTATATTTAGCATGCAATGATGGATCAATCAATCCAAACCTCAAACCAAATAATTTTAATAATTAACAAGTAAAAAAGCGTTAAGTTCGGCCGGGCCGAACTTTGGATACCCTCCACCACAGAAATACTGACAAATTTTTGAAATGAAAACATAGGGAACATACATATAATTACAATTCTTCCAATCGATTGTTGTAAACCAAATAGATAATTCAGCAATTTCAATGGGGGTTTTCCTAAAATCTCAAAACCCTTAAATGTTGACATATATTATTAACGCATGGTTCGGTGAAACATGTGTATAAAATGCTGAAAATATTCCAATTTAGAGGGCAATATTATATGAGGCATACTAAAGCGGGACCAATATTGACAACATTGTGTAGGAATTGGCAACTACTTGGTGTTTTCATTATACAAGGGGTTAGGCCTAATTAAGGGCCGATGTAGCTAAAGTTCCAAGCTAATATTTTAGTTTTAAATCCCAATACCGTCCATCACGCTAAATATTAAATAGGTAGGATGTTTATATAGGACCTGTCCTAAATGCGGGTCGATACAGTTCATTCTCAAACCTCACGTTTTAGTTTTTACGTCGATATCCTCCCAGAGAAAAATTATTACAACATATGGCTAAATCGACTAAATCGTTTTAGAATTCCATACTATGAGGGGTATGAACTGAAAATTTCGTCTACCGAATATCCCCCCTACTATGGTGGAATACAGCTATATGGGATAACCCAAATACACGGAAAAATCAGCTAACTATTTTAAAATAAAAAAGGGGGTTATAAGGGGACTACCCCTAAAAGGGGGTGAGTATTAATAATTTTTGGTAGGAAGATTTGTTACCATATACGGCTGCAAAATACCAAATTACAGCCAATTCGGTTGAAAACCGTGCTCAAGAACCCAAAAATACCGAAAATTGGAGGGTACCCTTATATGGGGGCTACCCGAAAAAATAAACCTATATTCATTATTTTTTGTGGAGAGATTTGATACCCAATAAGAACTCAAAGTACTAAATTCGGTGAAAAAATCCGGTCAAAACCCACCAAGAACTGAAAATTGGGAGGTACCGTTCTATGGGGGCTACCAGAAAAAGTGGACCTATATTTATAATTTTTAGTGGAGAAATTTGGTATCCAAAAAGAACCCATTTTACCAAATTTCAGCGAATTCGGTTGAAAAACGCGCTCAAGAAGCCCAAAATACTGAAAATTTGGGGGTACCATTATATGGGAGCCAGCAACGTACACAGGATTTCATTTCGGGGGGGGCCCGGTAGTACAAAATGAAAAAATTCGCTGTTACAAACATAAATTTACTGTGAAAAAAATTAATTTCGGGGGGGCCCGGCCCCCCGGGCCGCCCCCTGCTTACGTCCCTGATGCCTAAACGTGGACCGATATAGCCCATCATCGAACTTGACCTCCCTGCAGACAAAAGAGGACTCTATGCAAAATTTGAGCGTTCTATCTCAATTCGTTTAGACGATAGAGTGATTACAACAGACAGACGTACATGCTTAGATCGTCATAGAAATTTATGCTGATCAAGAATATATATACTTTATAGGGTCGGAAATGATTATTTCGATGCGTTACAAACGGAAAAACAAAACTAATATACCCTCCCTACTATGGTGGAGGGTGTAAAAAATGAAAAAAAAGAACAAATTAGATGATATAGCAATATTTAAATTTCTAATTATCAGAAGGGTAGTTGACCGAAAGGTATTTGGGACCCTTCTGATCACAATTATCGCCGGAGCGTATGCAAACATTTTGTTTTTGGGGATTGCCAAAGCCTAAACAATTGTCAGAAGGGTAGTCTTTTTTGGCCGAAAGATATTTTGGAACCTTCTAATCACTACTGTCTCCGGAACGTATGAAAACATTTTGTTTTGGGGGTTGTCAAGTCGATGGGATATTGATTTAGATAAACATTTCTTCCCATAATTAACCAAAAAGGTTTAATCAATCCTAATCTCAAACCAAAAAATAATTATAATATAAAAAAAAATAAAAAACAAAACATTTTTTTCTGGCTACATTTAATTGGTATTTATTGTTTTACAAAATAATAATAATTATAATAATAATAGTTATAGTAGTTGTAGTTCTTGTAAGCAGTAAGAGTAATAATAAAAACGAATAAGATAAAATTAAATCATCAAAAGAAGGTGACTTAAAAATAATAATAATTAATTAAAAAAATTGCCAAATAAACTAAAAAAATAGAATTGTTTTAAAACCATACTTCTTTCTTATACAACATTATTACACAAAAAATAATAATCATTATAAAACAGAAAAAAAATCCAAAAAATACGTTTTATGTATGTATGTAACATGTGTGTGTTCTAAATTAAAAAAAAATGATATTATAGTATTATATGTATGTATGTAGAACATGCGTCATATATCTGTAAGCAATTTATTTATAGTATTAAAAAAAGAAACATTATACAAAAAATAATTATTAATTCTATTATTTGTTACAGTTGTTACATATTTATATATAAAGCAGAGAATACAAATAATGTTTAAAAGAAAATGATATAACAAAAAATAAAATAATAATAAAAACGAAAATAAAATAGGGTGAGGAGGATCATCACTTATCAAAATGAGAGAAAAAAAGAAACTTAAAATGTTTGAATATTTTTTGTTTTTATTTTTTTTTTTATAATAATAATATATAATAAAAAAGATCAGGGCGAGGGAAATGAAATATATAATTTTTATAAATTGGGTGTGTTGTTGCTGGGGAAGAGTTGGGAAAATGTAAAGCTTTGAGGACACAAGAAAAATGTGTGTGGTAGTTCTTCGGCGCTTGTGTGTTGTATTTGTTTTGTGTGACTCGTCTCAAAAAAACCCGTATAAATACAATAAAAAAAACATAAAAACTAAAACTTAAAAGATGTTCTCTTTGAATTATAATAAACATATTTGTCTCCTTTATTATTATTAATATGTATATAAGTATATGTGTATGTGATCGGTTTTGAAACCAAAAATTTTCCCAAAATCTTAAAAAAAATTAAGCATGCATTTCTTCCCACCAAACTCTTTGGCAGGAGGTTCGCACATTGCCTTCTATTTTATTACACATATATACACCTTTCCATTGTATGTATATACTATGTATGTATGTGTGTGTGTGTGGGAGTGTGTGAAAGATACCTTATCAGATGCTCCCACCAATGACTAATTATCTTCTATATTTAAATATTTGTAGATCTAGAGCGGTACCCATTCATCATTCCCAATTTTCCTTTCCCCTTTTTATATATTCTCCCACCAATCACCTACTACTCACCTCAGCCTGTACCGCTGAGGTGGAATTATTATTATTAGTATTGTTGTTGCTGTTACTGTTTTGTGTTGACGACGATGTGGCACTGGACACACCAGCCTCATCTATGAAATTTGTCTGTGGCGAAGAGCCAGCCACATTGGTACTGCTACTCACCACGGGTGGTGAGGTAGTGCCGCTGGTGGTTGAGGTAACACCAGTTGTTGAGACAACTTCGGGCGATTGTTGGTTTCGTCCGGAAGAAGAAGAAGTAGAAGAAGATGTTGGTGGTGGTGGTGCGGATGTTGCCACAGACGTTATATTGTGTGGAGTACCAGGCTTTGGGGTTGGTGACAATTGTGGGTCACTTAATTTATTGGTCATTGTTGTTGGTGTAGCATTAGTCGTGGGAGGAGTTTGTGGTGGGGCTAAAGATAATTTCGAATTTTTGCCACTTTCCAGGGGCATTGGAGAAGCTGGCTGGGAAGAGATTTCTGTCAAATTTGTAGTTGTTTGTTGTGGTGGACCTGCCATTTGTGTCGTTGTCAGTTGTTGGTGTTGTTGTTGTTGTTGGGGTTTACCTTGTTGCCCAGAACCTGGACTATGACGCCGCATCATCATATCATTATTGGAGGCCGACTCATCTGTTTCCTTGTTTGTTGGTGTGGTGGTACTTGGCGATTGGGATTGCGATGAAGATGATGATTTCTTATCTCCTAAATGCAGGTCATTTGCCGTTGCTGGGTTCCCCGCTGTGGTGGAGGGTGTTGCGGCTTTATTATTAGCTCCTCCATCTTCTTGCTGTTGCTCCTTAGAACCCCCATTGTTGTCATTGTTGTTACCCGCCGCACCATCACTGAGGCCATTAGCTTCCCCTGCCGTCATCTGGCCACCCTGACCAGCCCTTATCGATTCTGAATTACTAACAGTGGATGGAGCATGATTACTGGAATTCGAATTGGATCCCGTCAAATCCAACGTGGTAGGTTCATGTGTGGAGGCAGCTATGCCCGGATTACTCGGCTTATCCATGGCCGAGGGGACCATATTGGCAATTTGATGACGCATTGAGTGGGGACTTTGTTGTGGCATGCCACTTTTTTGGCTGCCATTTGCCGACTGCGTTGAGGATACAGGTGCCCCCGAGGATGGTGTCAATTTGCCGCCAGCAGCCAAGGAAGCGGCACTAAATGCCGAAGGATTGAGACCGGCCGTACCCAAAGGCAGGGGCGGTAGAGAATGCGGTGATTGGCTTGTGGGCAAACTAGCGGCCGCTGCTGCATGCATGGCCGCCAAATGGCTAGGATGATGCGAATAATACATGGAAGCCGACATATGACCCGAGGCTGAGGACAAAGATGAGGTGGGTTGGGCAATGCTGCCCGTCGATTGTAGTGTGGGCGCCAGAGAGGTAACACAATTCGATTCGGATACCCTCATTGGCATTGCAGCACTGGAACTAACAAGCCCCAGGCTACCGTGTGGTGAGCCTGATCCCGAACCTGCGGTTGAGGTTAGCACCGATGATGTGGAGGAATGGGGTGGCAGTTGATGGCTGGACGTGATGGCCGGGTGATGCGGAGACATGTGCGGGTGAGTTAAATTCATGCTATGGTGGGCCAGCCCCAATGCCGCGGCGGAGAATCCAGGATGTCCCAAACCGGGACTAAGTCCCAATGCGGCCTGTTGCAGGTGGTGGGGGAGATTTGCATGTGGCATTGAGGTAAGGCCGGGCAAACCTAGACCCGGTATACCCATGGCGCCGTGGGGACTTTGTCTTTGGTTGGCGGCAGCTGCGTGATACGGAGATATTCCCGAGAGGCCATGGAGGCCAGCGGGTGGGGCACGTAGACCCAAATTCAAGTGGGGTATCATGGAACCCAAAAGGTTACGACTCAAGGGATTGTACAAGGTATTCGAATAGTGATGCGAGGCGGAAAGCAATTGCTGTTGGCGTTCTCGTTCACGGGCCTCTCGTTCCTTTTCACGCATTTCCCGCTCACGGGCCTCCTTCTCCTTTTGTTCCTTTTCCCTTTGCTCCTTTTCGCGTTGTTCACGTTCTCGTTGTTCTTTTTCGCGCTGCTCACGTTCTCGTTGTTCACGCAGTTCTCGTTCCTTTTCACGCTGCAATTCACGTTCTCGTTCCTCTTCACGGGCCAAGGCACGGGCCCGGTGTTCTTCCTCCAGCTTAATGCGTTCATGTAAACTTGGACCAAGGCCAAGGGCTGCCCCCGGTATCATAGAATACAAATGGGAGGCATACGGCGAGGCCAAGGGTGGATATAAGGCGGCATGGGGATGGGCACCGGGATGGGCGCCGGCGGCACGCAACAATTGAAAACGTTGATCCAAATACATTTGTTCGCTATAAGGCAGACTGGCAGGATTTAGAAAGGCACCTGGAACAGAGAAACAATTATTTTTATTTTGTCAAATCTCTGAGAGGTGGAAAAACTTACCTGGAGGCATACCGGGAATACCTGCAAAGTGCGAATATGCATCCAAAGGAAAAGCTCCAGCTGGATGTATCAGCCGTTCATCGGATCTGTAGGGTTGGAAACCGCTACGTGCCAGCAATTCCGGTTGTAAACTCGAACTGGGTGGCTGGGAATTGAGGCGGGCAATCTTTTCTGCCGGCTGTGGTGAGGGTGCTGAACGTTTCTTGGCTGCCGACGTGGAGCGTTCATCGTTGTTATTGGAATTGGGCGTCAGCGATGAGGCCGACGAGGAGTTGATACGTTCCGCACCACCACGATTTTGTATAGAATTGTTGTTCGATGTTAGCGAGGGATTTGTTGGGGGGCCAGCACTGCCCGTCGAAATACTACCACCGCCGCCGCTGCCAACATTACGTGGATCCTGACGATCACGTGATGAAACCTCTTCTTCTTCCTTGATATCAGCCTGTTTGGCCAGGTTGCGCAATGCCGAGGCAAATGGCCCCCGGGCCTGGGCTGCTGTTTGATTTAATGCTCCCGGTGGAACACCGGCCAATTGTTGTTGCACCTGGACAGCAGCCGCTGCCGCCGCCACGGCCTGTTGATGAGCCTGCTGCTGTTGTACCAATGCCGATGGCGAATGGGCACCCAAATGATTGGCCGCTGCCGCCAAGGTATGATTTATAATGCCGGGAGGACCTCCACCGCCACCACCAGGATTTACCGAACCCGGTGGTTGTGTAATTGTTGTGGTATTACTATTGCCTGCCGCATTGATGGAACCCGGTCCTCCGGCACTGGTATTTGTCGATGGAGATTGCAAATGATGTGGTGAGGGTATGGCAGGTGCTGGACTTGTGGCTGGTCGTTTGGAAGCCGTTTTGGGTGGCACTGCAAAGAGAAGGGTAACAAAAAGGGGAAAGAGATATTAAATAACTGTTTAAGTGTTTGCTTGTGGGGGGGCTGGGTAATGTGGAGATTATAGACTTGGTGGTGTCAAGTGTTTCAGTAACGACTTAGGGGTTGTGCAAACAAAACTCTGTTGCCCTCCGCCATCATCATGTTGGCACATGTCTTTGTCGTCACTTAACCATATGTCACACACACACCACCATTTAAACATAGTTTAAGTTTACACAGAACAGAACGGAACGATGTGAGATTTCAAGTAAATAATCCATAGCCTAAGTTTATTGGAGTTGGAAGAGGAGGAGGATGAGCAGAAGTGAAAACCACTGACTATCATGTAAGTAACAAATGTTGGACAATTTATTGTTGTTGTGCGGTTTCCAACACAGTGGGACAATGTAATGCAAAAAATTAAAAAAAAAATAATTTGGAATATATTTATAGAATAGGTCTACGTTTTTGTTGTTGTTCCCACATGACGGTACCTCTCAAATTTCCGTATTTCGGGGATATTTTTTGAACCGAATTGTCTGTAATTTTGTGTTTTGGGTTCTCATAGTGTAGTAAATCTTCCGACTAAATATTATCACTATTGGCCCACTTTTTGAAGTGGTTCACATTTAGCCATACCCTCCAAATTTACGGTTCTTGGGGAGTTTGATCGTGGTTTTTAATCGAATTGGCTGTAATTTGGTATTTTGGCTACTCATAGGGTAGATAATCCTCCGACCAAAAATTATCATTATTGGTCCACGCTTTACGGTAGCCCCCTTATAGCCACACCTTCCGAATTTCGGCATTTTTCGAAAATTGGGTGCGATTTTCAACCAAGATGGCTGTAGTTTGGTATTTTAGGTTCTAATGAAGTAGCAAATCTCCCTACCAAAATTTTTCATTTTTAGTCAAAGTTTTAGGGTAGTCCCATATAGCCAAACCTTCCGGATTTCGATATTTTGGGAAGATTGGGCATGTTTTCCAAACGAATAGGCCGGAATTTAGTATTTTGGGTTCTCATAGGGTAACAAATATTCCTACCAAAATTTAAAAAAATTTGGTCCACGATTAAGGATAGTCCGCATATAACCGCAATTTCCGAATTTCGATATTTTGGCGAATTTGACCACGTTTTTCAACCGAATTGCTTGAAATTTGGTATTTTGGATTCTGATTGGATAATAAATAATCCTACCAAAAATGAGCAACATTGGTCTACGCTTTAGGATAGCCCCCATAGAGCCACAACTTCCGAATTTCGATATTGTGGTATGTTTGTTAATTTTTTCCAAAAGAATTGGCTATAACTTGGTAATATGCATTCTCATTGACAATAATAATAACAACAACGTAAATCTCCATACTAAAAATTATCAATATTGATCAAGGTTTTAGATTAGCCCCCATATAACCCCACCTTCCGAATTTCGGGATTTTGGGTACGTTTTCCAACCGAATTGCCTGAAATTTTGGTATTTTAGATTCTCAAGGGGTAGAAAATCTCCTTGCCAAAAATTAGAAAAATTGATGCAGTTTTTAGGTTAGGTCCAATATAACCGTAACATCCGAATTTTGGTATTTTGGCGATTTTTGGTACATTTTTTCAACCGAATTGGCTGTAATTTGGTGTTTTGGATATTTAGGGGGTTGAAAATCTGCTTCTAAAAAATTAGAGTAATTAATACCGTTTTTAGGGTAGTCCCCATATAACCGCACCCTCCGAATTCCGATATTTTTTCGAATTTGGTACCATTTTTCAACCGAAATGGCTGTAATTCGATATTTTGAATTCTCAGGGGGTAGAAAATCTCCTTACCAAAAAAATTAGAAGAATTACTACATTTTTTCGGGTAGGTCCAATATAACCGTACCTTCAGAATTTTGGTATTTTGGCGAATTTTGGTACATTTTTTCAACCGAATTGGCTGCAATTTGGTATTTTAGATTCTCAAGGGGTAGAAAATCTCCTTGCTATAAATTAGAAAAATTGATACCGTTTTTAGGATAGGTCCAATATAGCCGTACCTCCCGAATTACGATATTTTGACCAGTTTGGGTACTTTTTTCAACCGAATTGCCTGTAATTTGATATTTTGAATTCTCAGGGTGTAGAAAATGTCCTTACCAAAAATTAGGACAATCAATACCGTTTTTATAGTACGTCGAATATAGCCATACCTTCCGAATTTCAGTATTTTTGGATTATTGGCCACGTTTTTCAACCGAATTGGCTGCATTTTGATATTTTGGATTATCAGGGTGTAGAAAAACTCCTTACCAAAAATTAGGAAAATTGATACAGTTTTTAGGTTAGGTCCAATATAACCGTACCTTCCGAATTTCGATATTTTTTCGAATTTGGTACCATTTTTCAACCGAAATGGCTGTAATTTGAAATTTTGGATTCTCTGGGGGTAGAAAATCTCCTTACCAAAAAATTAGAAAAATTGATACAGTTTTTAGGGTAGGTCCAATATAACCGTACCTTCCGAATTTTGGTATTTTGGCGATTTTTGGTACATTTTTTCAACCGAATTGCCTGTAATTTGATATTTTGAATTCTCAGGGTGTAGAAAATGTCCTTACCAAAAATTAGGACAATCAATACCGTTTTTATGGTACGTCGAATATAGCCATACCTTCCGAATTTCAGTATTTTTGGAATATTGGCCACGTTTTTCAACCGAATTGGCTGCAATTTGGTATTTTGGATTCTCAAGGGGTAGAAAATCTCCTTGCCAAAAATTAGAAAAATTGATACCGTTTTTAGGATAGGTTCAATATAACCGTACCTTCCGAATTTTGGTATTTTGGCGATTTTTGGTAAATTTTTTCAACCGAATTGGCTGTAATTAGGTGTTTTGGATATTCAGGGGGTTGAAAATCTCCTTGCCAAAAATTAGAAAAATTGATACCGTTTTTAGGATAGGTTCAATATAACCGTACCTTCCGAATTTTGGTATTTTGGCGATTTTTGGTAAATTTTTTCAACCGAATTGGCTGTAATTTGGTGTTTTGGATATTCAGGGGGTTGAAAATCTCCTTACCAAAAATTATAAAATTTGATATTGTTTGAGGGTAGGTCCGAATTTCGTTATTTTGGCCATGATTTTCAACCGAATTGGCTGCATTTTGGTATTTTGGATTCTCAGAGGGTAGAAAATCTCCTTACCAAAAATTATAAAATTTGATACTGTTTTTAGGGTAGGTCCCATATAGGCGTACCTTCCGAATTTCGTTATTTTGGCCAGGATTTTCAACTGAATTGGCTGAGAGGGTAGAAAATCTCCTTACCAAAAATTATAAATATTGATAGGTTTTTTATGGTATCCCCCATATAGCCGCACCTCCCGAACTTCGGTATTTTGGCGATTACTTTTTCAATTAAATTGGCTATAATTTGGTATTTTACATTCACAGAAAACCTCTTTACCAAAAATTATAAAAATTGATACCGTTTTTAAGGCGGCCCCCATATATCCGCACCTTCCGAATTTCGGTATTTTAGGGATTTTGACCAAGTTTTTCAATCGATTTTGCTGGAATTTAATATTTTGGATTCTAAGGCGGCAGAAAATGTCCCTGCCAAAAATTATAAATTTTGGACCACTTTTTCTGATAGTCCCCATATATAGCCATACCTTCCGAATTTCGGGATTTTAGAGATTTTATGCACGTTTTTCAACTGGTTTGGCTGTAATTTGGTATTTTGGGTTATCAGGGGCTGAAAATCACCTTAACCTAAATTATCCATATTGCTCCATTTTTTAGGGTAGGTCCGCCGTTCCTTTCGAACTTCGGTCCGGCTTTTTTATTACTTTATTTTTAAACATTTTTTTCCTGAAGTTACCCACAGTCTTTATTAGAATATCACACCCAATGGCCCTATGGTTCCCACTCTACCCAAACTGACCACCACCACACTTGTCCCTTCCCTCCTCCTGGTGTTTTTGGTCGTGGTCAATGGTTTTGCAATTCATCCATTAATAATTACTACTCAATAGGTAGGCTGGCTGGCAGGGCAGTTTACTTTGTGGATGGGATTTTTGCCTAAGGGGGAGGAGGCGAGGGGAGGAGATTGTGGAGAGTAGTAGGGCTTTGTTGAGTGGGCTCATGTCATGTAGTTGTTGTGCTAGGTGGTATTGCCTGGCAGGGTATTTCTTTTTTTGGGTTAGGTTTACTTGTAAACATACACCACACACACGCACACACACACATATACACACTTCTATATTGTGTTGTAGGAAAGTGTCATCAGGCACAGAGAAGTTGGCTGCTGCTGCTGGTGGTTCAAGTACACGTTCACATAAAAGTGGCCAGAGAAATTAGATATGCCATGGTCAGGACATGAGATAGTCAGACATACACACAAGTGGCTAGCTGTTTATGTGTGTGTGTGTGTGCGAGCGTGTGTTGCTGTCCAGGTGAAACACTTTGCATGTCATCAATGGAAGTGTGTTTGAGTGTGTGTGTGTGCGTGTGACCTGACTGCCTGTAATTGCCATGAAACTCATATGGCCTATTTTGTGGTTTCCTAAACTTCGGACTAGAAATCAAAAGGGTTCATTTGTTTTGGCCAGTAGTGAGTATGAAGAAGAAGAAGAAGAAGAAGAAGAATAAGCATGTATTACTAAAAACAAGCTTTCGATCATGTTCGGGCGGTAATCTGCCATATTTGTAACTGATTAAGGTTGGCTTTTTGCAAGGGAGTTAAGGAAGGGGGAGGGAAGAGGAGGGGGAGGTGGAGGTGGAGGGGAAGGTGGAGGGGAAGGTGGAGGGGAAGAGGAGGGGAAAGAGGAGGAGGAAGAGTAGGGGGAAGTTGGAATGGTTGTAGGTAGAGATGTATTGATGAGATGGTGGCAAAATCATGTTTAGTTTCCTAGGGATGCTATTAACTCAATACGCATTGAAGCATAAGCCGAGGCAGTCGTGGTGGTGGTGGTCAGTCAGTCAGGTTAGGCTAGCCTGGCTGCCTATTGATGTTTGAG